GACGTTTCGTTCAGTTTGATTGCTTTAGCCATTGGCCCCTAACAACATGCCATGCGGCACAAACGAATCGCTTATTTAAAACGTTGCTTTTCTCCTGCTTAAGATGGTAAACAAATTCAGAGTCAAATTTTGCTATAAAACACACACACAAAAACAGATAAAGGCACTTTAGAAGATATCTCACTGTTTACCTAGCAAATTTCAAAATATATTCCAATAATTGATTTTTAGTGTACCTGGGAGAGAGCTTCTTCTCCAGCTCTGTGACTGTGGACTCTAATAAACAAAGAGCGAGGAAGATCTAAGACAATTACTATCACAGTAGCACAAGTGAGACTTTTATGGAATCCTACCAAGTCTGGGCTGTTACCAAAGATGGCATCATTTGGAGACTTGCCAGTGTAAACTCTCTCTTGAAGCAATGTTTAAGTATATACTTCTAGCCCATATTTGTACTTGAGCATATTAAAACAAGGGAGCGAGCAAGCCTAGATTTGCTAATGGATGCCATTATAATTGTGAATAAAAACATCTTGGGAGTATAATTTTAAATTCCATCTTTGCAGCCTGCAGGTTACACTGGAGAAGATGGCAAATCCTTTCCTCTGCAGGAGATAATTCATATTTTGGTATCACCTACTACTGTCATCACTAGCAGATTCGTTGGGCAGTATAATAGGTGGAACATTGGACTTGGATGGACGAAGGGAGAGCTGGGTCCAAATCTCCACTGGGTAAACTTGGCCCGGTGAGCTTAGCCCATTACGCTGTGAAAGCTGTGAGAAAAACCCTGAACTCCAGGAGGAGTAGCAGGATATAGGTTGCATGCACACCATACAATTAAAACACCTCTCAAACAAGAATCCTGGAGCTGTAGTTTGTTAAGGGTGCTGGGAATTGTTTCTCTGTTAGGGGTAAACTGCAGTGCCCAGAATTATTTTGGGGGAGATGTGCCTTAAATGGGCTTTAAATGTACTGCATGTAAAAATAAAGGTAAAGGTACCCCTGCCCGTCAGGGCCAGTCGTGACCGACTCTAGGGTTGCTCTAGACTCTCGCTCAAGAGGCCGGGAGCTGGCACTGTCCAAAGACACTTCCGGGTCATGTGGCCAGCGTGACAAAGCTGCATCTGGCGAGCCAGCGCAGCACATGGAAACGCCGTTTACCTTCCCACTAGAAAGCGGTCCCTATTTATCTACTTGTACTTAGGGGTGCTTTCGAACTGCTAGGTTGGCAGGAGCTGGGACCGAGCAACGGGAGCTCACCCCGTCGTGGGGATTCGACCCGCGTGGGGATTCGAACCGCCGACCTTCTGATCGGCAAGTCCTAGGCTCTGTGGTTTAACCCACAGTGCCACCCGCGTCCCGTTTGCATGTAAAAATACATACAAACAAACAAACAAACATACATACAACAAACTGGTGGGCTCAATCTAACACAGAATTAAGCATGCTATTTCAGACTAGCAGCCAATTAAGAGTGTAAAACACTATAAGGGACCAATGCTTATAAGTGCGATGTCAGTTCACAAAACGAACTGACCCTGTATAGATGTTCTAGCTCCTTCCCACTTCTCCCTTCCCTTCTAATGCACAAATCACACATTTTCCAGAGCTTGAGGGCAGGGATGCAAATCCACAAGAGAGTAATGGTAGTTATATTTGCGTACTCCTAATACCTCACCTTTATTCAGCACCTTTTTTACATGGCAGTTGGAAGTACTGTCTATAGTAGTTCACATACATCCTATGTTCTTGTAGCAAACTCAGTCCTCTGACTGTGGATCATTGTGTATCTGTCATGGCACCATCCACTTATTAGAGGGAGGCATCCCTAGGCTTGGATAAACCCAGAAGTCTGCAGAAGTACAAAAAAAAAAAAACCCTTCAGGAAAAAAGCTCTAAGTGGAGTGGGAGCCATCCCAAAAAGTCCAGTGGGGGCTGAGCATGCTCAATGGCCCTGAACAGGGCTGCCTTCAGATGTCTTCTAAATACAGTATCAGGTAGTTGTTTATCTCTTTAACATCTGGTGGGAGGGTGTTCTACAGGGCGGGCGCCACTACCGAGAAGGCCCTCTGCCTGGTTCCCTGTAGCTTTGCTTCTCGCAGTGAGGGAACCACCAGAAGGCCCTCAGCACTGGACCTCAGTGTCCAGGCAGAATGATGGGGGTAGAGACGCTCCTTCAGGTATCCTGGGCCGAGGCCATTTAGGGCTTTAAAGGTCAGCACCAACACTTTGAATTGTGCTCGGAAACGTACTGGGAGCCAGTGTAGGTCTTCCAAGGCCGGTGTTATGTGGTCTTGGCAGCCGCCCCCAGAATGGTGTATTCTGGAAAAGGGCACGGCTGGCTTTTGTTTGCAGTAAGCAGCAAATAAATAGATCAATAACTGCATCTATGAATACAAGCAAATTTAGAAGAAGAAAAATCCAGTGCCAAGGAAGACTGGGGCTGGGGAGGGGAGTCTGGAGCGGCTAGAGTGGGCACAGCAGGATGGTGGCATCAGGCCTGGCTCCGCTATTAGGCAGAGTGGGGCCACTGTCTCAGGAAATGGATGCATTTCCAAGTGAACTGCTCCATATTATTATTATTATTATTATTATTATTATTATTATTATTATTTATACCCCGCCCATCTGGCTGAGTTTCCCCAGCCACTCTGGGTGGCTTCCAATCAAGTGTTAAAAACAATACAGCATTAAATATTAAAAACTTCCCTAAACAGGGAATCACACAATGTATGCCTTCATCCCTTGGGAACCCCCAAGCAGGGGCAAAACTAGATTTTGTTTTGGCACCCCACAACTCACATTTGCACACGCACACCCTCCCGCAGGCTGGGAGCCTCAATGGCTGCCCTCGGGAGGCTTCGCCCAGGGTAAAAACACCTGGCTAGCCCTCCTGTAGCTATGGCTCTGCCGCCAAGCACTTGGGGAGCAGCACAGGCATCACGGGAAGCTCCACCAATCCAACCGACAGCCTTTGGAAGAGGAAATTGCCCCAGTGGGATTGCCTAGTTCTGAGCAGGGGTGGGGAGCAGAGGAGGCCCTTTTCAGGCATGCACCATTGCTAATTGGATAACTGCAGCAACTTCAAGCAGCGACTTCCAAGAGCAAATGAGTCACCGCCATAGATTAAATCATCACAGGTAATAATAAAATATATGTCAGCTGAATAATCGTTTGGGGAGGCCCTGCCTGAGAGGGGGAGCTTCTCTGATAACCTACTTCCACCATGTGTTGGAAAGTGGAACTGCAAGCATATTAGTATGGCAGCCCACCAGGGTCTGGTTCACACCTGCAAGCTCATCACCCCTTTGGACCGTATAAAGTGACAAATTAGCCAGGATAACAGATTAATAATCACAGATAGAACTTGCTTGTCACCTGATGCAAACACAAAACGCTGCTTCCACATTTACAGCAGGTGCTGGAATGGGCTGACTGCAGGAGGATGAGATCCACAACTTTGAATGCTTTGAATTATTATTATTATTATTATTATTATTATTATTATTATTATTATTACTAAACTCCACATTAAACTCCATTGAGACTGCAGGCAGAGAGACTGCCCCATCTTTTGATATAATATACATCTTTTAACATGCAAGAATATAATTGTATTATAGAGCCAGTGTGGTGTAGTGGTTAAGAGCGGTAGTCTCATAATCTGGGGAACCGGGTTCGCGTCTCTGCTCCTCCACATGCAGCTGCTGGGTGACCTTGGTCCAGTCACCCTTCTCTGAAGTCTCTCAGCCCCACTCACCTCACAGAGTGTTTGTTGTGGGGGAGGAAGGGAAAGGAGAATGTGAACCGCTTTGAGACTCCTTAAAGGGAGTGAAAGGCGGGATATCAAATCCAAACTCTTCTTCTTCTTGTAGGCATTTTCTAAGGCTGCATACACACAATACCTTTAAAGCATATCTTTCCTCCACCCAAGAACACTGGGAATTGTGGTTTGTTATGGGTGCTCAGAATTGTAGCTCTGTGTGGAGTAAACTACTGTTCCCCAGACTCTTTGGAGCAGTGTGTCTTATTCTTCTATGATGATCACCCGTAGACGAGTAAGTTTGTCTTCCACAAACACGGTTTTAACAATGAGTCCGTGACTGTGGAGGCCAATTCTGGATCCACATGTCCTTCCGCAGTGGGGACATTGGTTTCTGGGCGGGAGTTGATCACAGTGTGGATTTGCCAAGTGTGCCTTCCTCTTAGCACGTTTCTCCCTTGCGTCCTGAGTTCGGGTTTCTTCAAAGTCCATGACACCTTTGGTAAAGGCTGTTCTGCAACTGGAGCACTCGCAGGCCCGTGTTTCCCAGTTGTCAGTGTTCATACTACATTTTTTAAGATTTGCCTTGAGACAGTCTTTAAACCTCTTTTGTTGACCACCAGCATTACGCTTTCCATTTTTAAGTTCAGAATAGAGTAGTTGCTTTGGAAGACAATAATCAGGCATCCGCACAACATGACCAGTCCAACGAAGTTGATGTTGAAGAATCATTGCTTCAACACTGGTAATCTTTGCTTCTTCCAGTACACTGGTATTAGTTCGCCTGTCTTCCCAAGTGATGTGTGCAGATGACAGCTTATTGAACAGAAGTTCGGGGGGGGGGGTTTGCAGGCAGAGGGAAATTCAACAGGTAAAGCGCATTAGGAGGATGCATCTTCATTCCCAACAATGTACAGTGGTACCTCGGGTTAAGAACTTAATTCGTTCTGGAGGTCCGTACTTAACCTGAAACTGTTCTTAACCTGAAGCACCACTTTAGCTAATGGGGCCTCCTGCTGCTGCCGCACCGCCGGAGCACGATTTCTGTTCTCATCCTGAAGCAAAGTTCTTAACCCAAGGTACTATTTCTGGGTTAGCAGAGTCTGTAACCTGAAGCATATGTAACCTGAAGTGTATGTAACCCGAGGTACCTCTGTACAAATGCAGCTTGAAACAACTTTGCTGTTTTAAGCCACTAACGCACACATAACTTTTCATAAGAAGCAACACGGTGGAAGCAGGATATATTTATGTACTGTGGCTTACGTTATGTGGAAGAACACAGAAGTGTGCGCACAACATCTCATTGCTAACACTGATGGGAAAAGCAGACTCGGGTGAGGAAGCCCTGCTTCAAGGCATCGTGTCTCCAATTTTTCCTGAAGATGGTGCCGTTGTCGTCATCACCTATCACAGCAAACACATTTCACAGGGTGTGCCACCAAAGTGTTTGTGGGCGGCCCCTCTTCATTTATAGTTCCAACTTCATGGTTTCCAAAATATAAGGGAAAGAAAGATCGCTTCCTGAAGCACCTGCCCGAGAGTGGAGAAAAGTGTGTTCTGGAGGAGAGAGATGCATCAAATTATCACCCGTTATTTATACTGTGCTTACATCATACAAATATTAAAACAGACGTGGTTTTGCCCTCAGGTTTACAATCAAATAAAACACAAAGGGAAAAAGGAATTAGGCAGCTAGAGGAATAACAGGACAAATGGCCATCAAGAAAAAAGAAGGAGGGTCATGGAGAAAAAAGCAAGAGTGAAAACTAAGCATGAATTTTCAATAACTTCTTAAATGAGGAAAAGATGTAAGCTACTCAGACTGATGGTGGAAGATGTAGACATTAGCAGTGGAATGTATGAACTATAAAGTCCTCCATTCAAATATCATCTCAGCTATGGATTTGCTTAGGTTAGGGATCGCCAATGTGGTGCCCATGGGCACCAGTGTGCCCACCAGGGCCTCCTATGGTGCCCACAAGAGGTCTCAAAAGTCCACAATGCTCAAGAGATTGTTTGCTCATCCTGCTCAGTTCCTCATTGCATTGGCCCAATTTCTCTTGTACACAGGACATCCCCACCCCTTGAACATGCAGAATGAGCAGGAGCGCTCCCAAATGCAGCAGGATTGGCATGCTAAAGTTCTGGAAGTAAATATATATTACCATCTGAAGAAGGAGGCACCACACCAGATGACCTACATCCAGAGTCAAAAGCGACCTAACTGCTTCACGGAAAGGAGGCAAGAGGAACTAAACTCCGCTTCTGTTTTCCTTTGCCATTCCACTTTTCCTGCCAACTGCTTTTCTCCTAGCACATGATAGTGTTTTGCCCGGTGACATGAAAATGTCGCTTACTGGTTCCTGGGTATTAAATCTCCGCTAAAAGGTGTAGGAGGCAGGCCACAGCTGCTATATTTTTCTGCCCTGCTGAAGTTTCCCTATAGAAGTCCGCCCTGGCCCTGTGACATGGCTGACACCCCTCTCTCTCTCCCCGTATCTCCTCCTCAGCCATGAACTTGCCTTATCTCTGCCTTCAGCTGGTGGGTGGGGAGAGGCAGATCCAAGGGGACTTCTCAGCTCTCAAACTAGACTGCGCAGAAGTTGTTCGACTTCAGTGCAGGTCAACAGGTAGGAGGAAAGCGCTGGGGGGGGGGACGCTTTGGGATTTTATTTTCTCTCTCTTCTACCTCTCATTGAATATGAAAACAGATAAAAATGGAGGCGGCTCTTTGGCTGTGAGCATACTAAACTGCGAAAGCACATTCGAAGCACCTTTTTCTCTCAAAGAATTCTGGACACCGTAGTTTGTTAAGGACTGCTGCGAATTGTGATTCCGTGAGGGGGTAAACTACATTTCACAGAATTCTTTGAGGGAAAGAATGTCCATTGAATGTGCTTTTTAGTGTGCACACAGCGTTTCTGCTGTTACCTGTCGGTGTTCATTTCTTTTCTCTCCACCCTATCACCTAAATTAAGGACCAGTGACTGGAAGCCCCTAAGGTCCATGCGGGCTCTCAGAGGAGTGCTGGCTGTCTCCCTTCTCCACTAAATATCCAAAAATGAAGAAGGGAATTGGGGGGGGGGGTACTGCATTGGCCTCAAGGCTACCAACTAGCTGGGAAACAAGCAGTCTACCTTGCTTTTGAGACTTGATTTCCAGGAATCAACAGGCAAAGCTTTGCAAGATGAGGAGCCTGTAACCATCCCGTTATTTTGTTGGACTACAACTCCCATCATTACTGAACATGGGCCATGCTGGCTAAGGTTAATGGGAGTTGGAGTTCAACATTGATCTGGAGGGTACCACGTCCCTTATCCTTGCTTAGATCAGTGCTATCAAAGGGACAACTAGAACGGTGGCTTCAAAAGTTGGTAATCTTCATTGGCCCAGCAGTCTTCAAACCTTTCTCGAAGAGCTGTCCTGAAAAACGGTAGTTGCCACCCAGGAGGTAAGAGTGGCTGATCTTTTCCTATTTCATTTTATTTTTATATTATTCTGCATAACTAAACTGTTTCTCCTTTAGGGAAATACCAGACATTATATAGCAGAGGCATGTAATTGTCTTTGAAAAACAGCTACAAGGATGCTGCTAACTATAAAAAACTAGCTATTTTTCCACCCTAAGTTGCTTCACAGCTGCTTTCTCATGCCCAGATGTGCCAATTTAAATAAAATATTGGGGGGCAGGTATAATTGCACACCATTTGAATGATAATGTCCATTAACTTTTGGGGAGGCGGCCCCCTCAAATATTTTATTGGTGGGGGGCAAAGGGACCTCAGCCCTTAGGACTTGGTTTCTATGCTGATGCCCCACTGCAAAGATATGGGTACTATGTGGGTATCTTTTCCTGTAAAACAGCTGGATGGAGGCAGTTTTGATCAGGAAATAAATAGTAGGGGAAGGGGTAAGGAATCTTTTACCCCTGCCATTCCTCTTGGGATCACAGCTCCCAGCACTTAGTTTTAATTAAAACTAAGCACAATTCCGAGCACAATTCAAAGTCTTGGTGCTGACCTTTAAAGCCCTAAATGGCCTCGGTCCTGTATACCTGAAGGAGCGTCTCCACCCCCATTGTTTAGCCCGGACACTGAGGTCCAGCGCTGAGGGCCTTCTGGTGGTTCCCTCACTGCGAGAAGTGAGGTTACAGGGAACCAGGCAGAGGGCCTTCTCGGTAGGGGCGCCCACCCTGTGGAACGCCTGCCCTTCAGTTGTGAAGGAAATAAGCAGCTATCCTATCTTTAAAAGACATCTGAAGGCAGCCCTGTTTAGGGACGTTTTTAATATTTAATGCTGTACTGTTTTTAACATTTGATTGGGAGCCGCCCAGGGTGGCTGGGGAAACTCAGCCAGATGGGTGGGGTATAAATAATAATTATTATTATTATTATTATTATTATTATTATTATTGTTGTTGTTGTTGTTGTTAAAACAAAAATGTCGGGAGATTGGTACGCATATCTGAGATGCAATGCACAGCTTGGCTCCTAGTCTCAGTGCATCTGAAAAGCATCAAAAGCAGCCCATTGACGCACTATTTCACCTCATGAAGTTAACCTTCATTCCCCTCCCAACCCATTTACAGTGGTACCTCGGGTTAAGAACTAAATTCGTTCCGGAGGTCCATTCTTAACCTGAAACTGTTCTTAACCTGAGGTACCACTTTAGCTAATGGGGCCTCCCACTGCTGCTGCTGCCGCTGCGCGATTTCTGTTCTCATCCTGAAGCAAAGTTCTTAACCCAAGGTACTATTTCTGGGTTAGCGGAGTCTGTAACCTGAAGTGTCTGTAACCTGAGGTATCACTGTATATTATGAAATATCCCTGTCTCTTTCTAATAGTTCGTTTTCACACATGATGCCAATATATATTGCATATATATATATATATGCAATATAAATGCATATATATATATATATGCATTTTTGGCATCTTATTATTATTCCAGGCTCATTGCTACTTCATAAGCTAGCAATTTGTCTCCAAGCCCAAGTCAAAGCACAAATTCTGATTTTTAAAGCCCTGAAGCCACATATTGGGGAAAGCTGATCCCCAATGAACATGCCTCGGCCCCAGACTGTTATGGACCACCTTTTCCAAAATGTCACAACCTGGCCATCTGGAGCAAGAGTGGAGGCCTTGCTGCATGTCTCCCCACTGGCTGAAGGGAGACATGTGAGGACATAGGAGAGGGTCTTTGGGACTGAGGCATCACTGCTATGAAATGGCTTCCCAGGCTCCATTGATGCTCACCTGGCCTGCAGGGAAAATACTGGCCAATTGCTGTGTTCGTCACGTGCTGCTATTTTATGATCATCTCTATGATACGCTGCATTGTATTTTTGTGTTGCTCTTATTACTGATTGGTGCCTTGAGGGCCTTTTCAGTAGAAAGTGGGGGGGGGGACAAGTAAAAATTACTTAATAAATAAATAACATCCCCCAGAATTGCCATGCATATATAAAATCCTGACTGTGAAAATGTACATTCAGGTTTTTCAATTGAGTTGTTGCTACTGATGATCTTGTCGTCGTCATCAAGTACAAACATTCGCATGTGCAACAAATAGTATAAATGGGGAGACTTGCCATCTGACCAGCAAAAAATCCTGACACTTTTAACTGCAGCCGAATCTTCGGGAATCAGCATGCAGAAATTATTGTGAGGTGCACATAAGCCTTATTAACTGCTAATCAGGCCTCTATTAAAGGCACAGCTACAATGGCCAGTTTAAAGGTTGGCAAACCTTTAAACACAGGCATTTTTATTGACTCTTTGCCCAGAGTTTTGACAATTGGGGTGTAAATTTTTAGGAGCTACTTTATTTCTGTAATCATAAGCTGTTGTAAGTTGTTTTTAATATTGCAGTGTTGTGTTTTAATGTCCTAACCTGGCCTGGGACCTTAGGGTAAAAGGTGGATAATAATAATAATAATAATAATAATAATTAATAATAATAATAATAATAATAATAATGTGTGTATTTGTGAAAATGTCTTTGGTAACCTATCTTCTAGTGCTTTAACACACCCCATCATGCTCTGTACTCTTTCCTACTGTCTAGTCTGTGTTATGAACACTGCATTTTATGTTTGGGGTTTGTGTGCTGCAAGACTTGTGCAGAGAATAGGGTCTCCACCTTTTTAAGGGCCAAGGTCCTGTATCTTTAAGGGCTGCATAAGAGTCAGAAAACATTCTGCGATGGACCCTGTCATAGAATCATAGAATTCTAGAGTTGCAAGGGATCCCCGGGTCATCTAGTCCAACCCCCTGCAATCTCATCTAAAGCATCCCTGACTGATGGCCATCCAACCTCTGCTTGAAAACCTCCAAGGAAGGAGAGTCCACCATCTCCCAAGGGAGTCGGTTCCACTGTCAAACAGCTCTTCTCTTCTCTTCTCTTCTCTTCTCTTCTCTTCTCTTCTCTTCTCTTCTCTTCTCTGTTTTCTTCTCTTGTTTTCTTCTCTTTTCTCTCTTCTCTTCTCTTCTCTTCCCTTCTCTTCTCTTGTTTTCTTCTCTTGTTTTCTTCTCTTTTCTCTCTTCTCTTCTCGTCTCGTCTCTTCTCTTCTCTTCTCTTTTTCAAAGGAGGCAACCCTAGCAGGGAATAGTATCAGAAAAGGCAACTCTCAATAGCGGAACATGTTTTAAACTGGCATTTAAAGTGAATTTTGATGCAATAAATTTGTATCTTCTTCTTCCTCTCCCACCTACCCTCCATTCCATGAACTGGCCTGTCCTTGGACTATTCCTTGTCTTTAACTCCTACTCTCTTCACTCCTTTTCCCCTTGGCACAAAGTACAATGGCTAGATAAAAAGCAAGCATAGTTCCCATCTGACTTCCTGTTTTGTTTTCAAAGGTACTTGCAGATTGCGCTGCATGATTTTGGAGAGTTTTGCAGAATAGAGAGTGCATCTGTGCATTTGCTTACTTCCTTCCTTCTCCTCATGTTCTACCTCTGATGTGCAGCCAGTGATATTTACACTCAGGTGAGAGTCTTCTGTAGCTTTGTATAGCTCACTTTGCAACAGTGGACTCCTTTGGCTGCACTTTACTAATTCAGGGAATGATGTCGGAATTCTCCCAAGCATTGCCCAGTGACCAGAAAAATGGCAGCAACATTCTGTCATGCTCTTCTGCCTTTAAGAGAAGCTCCATGTGCAGAACTTAGCAGGTGACGTTTTTGCAGCATGGACACAAACATTATATTTTGCTAACATCTGTACTTCGAGCTGCTGTGAAAGTTGCTGCTACTGTAGCCAGTGGGAAAGCTCTATTTTGCCTCCTTGTTTTGTTTTGTTTTGTTTTGTTTTGTTGGTGGGGAGCCCCCCGATGTTTGAGGAGATTTCTTATAATGAGGTGAGGAATTCAAACATACAATTCCCACTAGTGCAACTCAACAAAAGCTGCTACACACAACAAAACTGATTGCGTCTGTGATGGACTGTGGATGTCCAGTTAACATTTTGGACTGCTCTTTTCAGTGGTCTGTATCCTGCTGTGGATACAGACCAGCCTTCCCCAACTTGGTGCCCTCCAGATGCTGTTGGACTCCAGCTCCCCTCAGTCCCAGCCAGCGTGGCCCGATGGACACAGACGATGGGAGTTGTAGTCCAACAATATTTGGGGAGCTACATATGCCTCGTCCTTGATCTACAGCCATCTGGAGGGGGGGCACCAAGTTGGAGGACAGTGATATAGACGCTATATTTGTTGTTGTTGTTTAGTCGTTTAGTTGTGTCCGACTCTTCGTGACCCCATGGACCAGAGCACGCCAGGCACTCCTGTCTTCCACTGCCTCCCGCAGTTTAGTCAAACTCATGCTGGTAGCTTCAACAACACTGTCCAACCATCTCGTCCTCTGTCGTCCCCTTTTCCTTGTGCCCTCCATCTTTCCCAGCATCAGGGTCTTTTCCAGGGAGTCTTCTCTTCTCATGAGGTGGCCAAAGTATTGGTGCATCAGCTTCAGGATCTGTCCTTTCAGTGAGCACTCAGGGCTGATTTCTTTCAGAATGGAGAGGCTGGATCTTCTTGCAGTCCATGGGACTCTCAGGAGTCTCCTCCAACACCATAATTCAAAAGCATCAATTCTTCGGCGATCAGCCTTCTTTATGGTCCAGCTCTCACTTCCATACATCACTACTGGGAAAACCATAGCTTTAACTATACGGACCTTTGTTGACTCTGTATTCCAGAGACCCAAAGTTTTCAAAACAAGAGAATACAAGAGAAAGATTGTGGTTCAGTGGTTTGGTTCTAATATACTGTATTTTTAAAAAGTGTTACTGGGGCATATAATTTGAAGCAGCACTGGAACCTGGGGGAAATCTTCGGGGGAGGGGGCAAATTTTCAATCTGGCTCCACATCAGGGAGGACTGGAGCAGCTGATGGGCAGTTTTCTCTATTTTCCAGGAACCAAGCCTTATCTTTTGCATGCACCCTTAAGGAC